GGTTTAGGTCAGGATACTAGCGGTGGGTGGTGAGAACCTCTGGCAGGGCGATGCATTTCAGTCTCTCATCTAAGCCAAGGGTGATGCCCACCCTCAAAGAGATGCCTGAAGTACTTGCCTTGCAGGAGATCAACCCCGCTCCCAAAAATTGCTTTGGAGAGACATACTAACCCAGGGGTGAAACCAAACCCCGGTGATAAACGCGAAGGCAAGCGCGTAGCCGCCACGGCCACCCATCAGTTGCTTGAGGAGGTATTTCCTTCCCAGCCTGATCCCTGGGATTCCCCTGGAGCCCATGCCTTCGCCTCTGATTCATGGGTGACAACTGCAGCCCAACACCCTACTACCCAGCTACGGTTTCCATCACGCTGTAATATTCAATTCACAAACATGCCCCTGTTCCCTAGGCTGGAGCCAAATATACCATGCGGGTTATTTCAGCCTATAGATTTATTTTTGGAAGCCTGAGCTGTCTCGGGATGGGGATGGAAAGGGAGGGGAAGTGCGGGGCCAGCCAAGCGAAGAGATGTTTTGACACCGTTTCCCTTTTCGAAACAAAAAGCCGGAGCCTGCGAACATTTTTTAGTGGAGCCACTGATATTCGTCGCTAATAAAATAAATACTTCTGCATCCCCACTTTTCAGCCTTTCAGCAGGCAGGTGAAAAAATGGCGTGTTAGCTGTAGGTCTTTTCCTCCCATATCCTGCAATAATTCCCATCATTTACAACAACAAGCCTCCCTTAACTATTTTTAATACCCCGTGGAAATCCCATACTGGGAAGGGACTAATCTAAGTCATAAAGCCCAACTTTTTGGTGTTGCGTGTGCCACAGCTAGAAAATCCTCTCTGCTTTCTCAAACCCTGCGTCTGCGTTCCCCATCACTTCTCCTTTTGCACATCCCTGGGGATTTGGAGTCATTAATAGTTTCTATCCTCAAATTATTCATTTTGCCCTTTTCTTGAGCCAGCTGGGATAATATTTTTCTGGGTGCTACGAGCAGAAATCTGATCGTTTCGGTAGATGAACTGTTTTGAGACGTTTCGGTAGATGAACTGTTTTGAGACGTTGTGTGAAAGATGGGTTTCAAATTCTCTTGAAGCAAGGACACAACTGCTGGGATATCCAAACGGGAAAGAGAAAATTCTGGAAGAACCCAATTATTTTCTTAATTCATCATGAAACCGATGGTTAAAAATGTTGGAAGAATTAAAAGACATGAAACCAGGCAAAAAGAAGAGCAGAAGCAGCCAGGTGTCACTAAATAAAACTTATTCATAGATAAAAGAAGGATTTCGCAGAACAAAATGCTCCGCGTGGATTTGGCAAAGGGCCACACAAGTCTTGAGCAGTGGATGTCTGTGCCGGATCTGCGGATATTTCAATGAATAAGAAAGGGAATAAGAAATGAATTCAAATTATTGTGACATTTCAAACTTAACGACTGCTTGAGCTCCCGAAATGCTGCACTTTCATCCTGTATAAACTTTATGTTCTGTTACAGTTGATAAACAATATTTGATAATTTTTTTTCTGCACGTTTGATGCCCATCAAATTTTCTGGAAAAAAACAATTTTTCGACAGGGCTACCTCAACTGCCTTATTTCAGTAGCATTTAAATTACTGAGTAATTATAAATATTTAGTTACTCATATTTTGGATTTTTGAATATGTTGGTTTTCTGTAAACCTTAACATAGATGAAAGGTTTGTTAAGATAAATTCTATTTTGTCCAACTGGCAAGAAGTAAGCTGTAGTCGCCGGGATGTTTTTCCACGAACCTGAAGTTAATATTTAACTAAATGCCTTCGAAAGGAACCCAGTCCAGCTGTTTTCTCCCTGTTCCATCACCCAGCTCCATAAAAGATAGCAGTAACTGGATTGAGCACTAGCTGGGAAGAGCTATTCCATCATTTCATAGTTGTGTTTATTTAATATATTGTATTAAACACAAAGCATGGATTTTACCGCATGATTTAGGTTGCACTTGAGAAGGATGATGGGTTCATAAAGCCCGGCTCATCTATCCCTTTAGGTAATTTTTCCTCCACATTCAGTCCCTGGGAGGAAGAGGAAGAGCACTTTTAGGTACTGGCATGTCCATGGATTCTCTTTAAACTCTACTAGATCAGTCAGTTGAAGTTCTGAAACGAATTACAAATTGGGTGGTGCTCCTTTGAAATGATCAAATGGAAGGAAGACTGCCCATCTGCAGCTGGACTCTGTAGCGTGAAGGATAAGATGATACAGATGTTACAAAAAACGGTAGGAAAACTTCTCTTTCAAGCACACCTGGAAAGCCAAGTCTCAGGTTACACCATTAGAAACGGGGGATTTTATATTTAACTCCCAGAGTCGTGACGACCTCTTCTTCTGAGGTCCATGATACACTTCACCACTCAAATGTCCATCCTTTTCTGCTGAAATACTTCCCATCCCAGAAGAGACATGGAAGTAAGCGATCTCCTTAAATGTAGCACTAGCTCTGAAGGATTCCCCTTAATCTTGCAGTACTTCTTGGGATAAAGCCCACAGTCCAGAAGAAGTTGGAAAGATTGGTGCATTTACTTGTACTGTGGATTTATTTCTGATTTTCTCATTTGCCAACGACAGGCTCTACAGGACGTTCAAGGACAGCAAGTACCTGTACATGCTGATGGAAGCCTGTCTAGGTGGAGAGCTCTGGACAATTCTCAGGGACCGGTGAGTTTTAGAAACAGTTATCTTAAAGGGTGGACTATTTTCTAATATGCCTTCAGATACCCAGAGGTCTTTGTCTTTCATGGGCAAAGCCATGCTATCTTTGATTTAAGATCCCACAAAGGTGAGGAGATGTTTTTGGTCCAATGCAGCTGACTAGAGAAGAAGTGAATCCAGTCATAACTGAGAATAAAGACACATTTAGATTCCATCCAACATGTACGAGGCTTTATGTGGGTGGACACTTACCCAGAGCTGCTTTTTTGTGGCCTCTCTGAAAAAATACAGCAAGTAGTGATGGTAGCGATGGTAGTCATGTCATCAATTGCATCTACAGTAGGTCTTTGACTGCCCCTTGCCTGTGTCTTCATCTCTAAAAGGTACCCCTAAATAGCTGGTGGCATATTTGAAGTTTAATGTAATTATTTAATTCATTTAATTTTTAATTACCTGGAATAATGACCTCTAGAATAATAACCATAGAAATTACAACTGCGTCCACAGTGCCCATCCCACCGTTTCTCACGTTTGGGAGCCTGGGTGGAGGCTCAGGCACCTGGGGGAGGAATGTGGGACTGTCCTAAGGGTGACAAAGACTTTGGGCACCACGTATGGCAGAGAATGACCCTACAATGTCAAGGCCAGTCTCGTTGTGGACTTGCAAAACACGCACTGGAGATAGCGTCTTTCCAGTGCGGACCTTTAGGCGTCGCTGCTATGGCAGTTTTGGACTCTGGACTTATAAACCAGGGCCCTAAGGCAACAAAATCTATGGAAAAGTGGATTTTCAAAGTAAAACAAGGTGACTTCTTCAAAGCCTTCTGAGAAATCTCAATTTTCCATCCCAAAGACCTGCTTTTTCTCGTCTCAGTATTTGGTCCACTGTGATTGTCAACCTCCACCTCCGTCGCAGAGGCACTGTGGCAAACACTACTAATACTCTAGAGAATGGTTTGGATTGGAAGGGACCTTCAAGACCCAACCCCTCTGCCATGGGCAGGGACACCCTCCACTAGATCAAGTTGCTCAAAGCCTCATCCAACCAGACCTTGAACACCTCCAGGGATGGGGCAGGCACAACTTTTCTGGGCAACCTGTTCCAGTGTTTCATCACCCTCGGAGGGAAGAATTTCTTCCTTATGTCTCATCGAAATCTGCCCTCTTTCAGTTTAAAGCCATTGCCCTTCATCCTATCACTCCACACCCTTGTCAAAAGGCGTGATATTTATGGCACAGTCAGGTATGGGAGCGATGAGCAGGAGGAAACCAGTCATTCCACATGTGCTTTTGGTCCAGCCATCCCATATTAAACGAGAGCTGCTCATCAAAGTGCAAAACAGGATCGTGCATCAACACACCCTGTGAGGAGCACTACACAGCCGGGATGTAGAAGAGCTGTGGAAAAAAAAAAGTAGTTAGGAAAGCGTGTAATGCACGAGCAAACGTGGTCCTGGTGTTTCCTGCCTTGGGAGGGTTTGACCTTGCAGCCTTCGGTTTGGGTTGCGTGCGGGGAGGTGGGTTGAGGGGTGTAGGTGGGACATGCATGTAATATAGGGCAGGAGAAGGTGGGGTGAAGCGCATGTAACTCATGATTTAATTCCATTTAATTCACTTTAGAAAGTGAAAGAAAGAAATGCATCGGAAAGATTGATCGGAAAGCGAAGGTTGAATTCTTTTTTCATTACCTAGAACGCAATTTTTTTGTAATTCTTCCTTTTCCTGACACCATCCCTTCTCCGGAACCGTTAAACCAATAACCGTAGCGAAGTTAACAGGTGCTGGGTGGTATTTTTCCTCGCTTGTGTGAGAACCTGATAATTTCATCTTTAATTCTCTCGGCTTTACGTCGTGGTTCTGCTGCCACCTAGCTTAGACGGGCTTCGAAGCTCAACCATCTCCCAGAGACCTGGAGATAGGGTTTGCTTCGGAAAACCAGTTGCAAACTGGTGCTGAGATGAAGATCCAAAAGCGCAGTTTATGCTGAATCTGCAATTAACACTTCAAGCCCCAGCAACTGTAATTTTTCTGCCTTTCAGCTCAGTTATGAACATTAGGACCTGAGTTCTTGATCTCCACACCTCACAATAGCTTTATCACCCAAAAGTCAAGGATTATAATTTAAAAAATCACCTTTTACTTGGAAGGTATTTGTACGTTTTGCCTCTACGAGATGAAATTGTAAAATAAAACCGAAAATATTTTAGATAAGAATGTTTGATGTGAAGGTGGATTGAAGGCAGAGACCCTGACTTCAAAAACAGAAATGCAATTAAATTTATGTATAAAAGTGAGTTTAGCAACAGCCACTTTCCAGATATTAGAGTGATTCTACTGAACTGTATGGATATTTTACCAGTAGGGTGAAGTCCAGTAAAGGAAGAGATCTGATCGCTTTATCCCCTCTCTCATTTTCACGTAGAGGTTCGTTTGAGGATTCGACGACCAGGTTTTACACGGCGTGCGTGGTCGAAGCTTTTGCCTATTTGCATTCCAAAGGGATCATTTATAGGGACCTCAAGCCAGAAAACCTCATTCTGGATCATCGAGGTTATGCCAAACTGGTGAGTGCCTGTGACGTCCAGCGTGGCCAAAAAAAGTCACCGCTACTATCAGACAATGGGTGTTGGGGGTAGAGGAGAACACAGGATTAGCCATAGAGGGTCAGAAGTAAAGTCCAGCCAGCCCAGGATCCTGTCTCTGATGGTGGCCATCAGTAGATGTTGAGATGGGATGAAGGCAAGGGTGTTGTCACCCACCACCGGGGTGTTTTCCCAACCTCCAACAGACTGAGGCTCAGGGTATGGTTGAGCTGGGAAACACTAAATCTGCCTTGAAATTCAGATCCATCATCCTGAAGTGGAAATGTTTAGAAAAGAGCATCAAGAGAAATCCAACCAGCTCTTTTGGAGCTACTGAAAGACTAAAAGACAGCTTGAAAATAGGTGTCTTCAAATAGTGGTGGGAGAGGGGAAGGACTTCAGAGGAGGGCTTCAGAGGAGACCGGTGAAACAAATTTTGCACGTTGCTGTTTGTGCATCAGGTCCTTTGTGTAAGCAATAAAAAAGTCCTTCTTAATGGAAATACTAATCATTGACCCTGTGATGGCAAGAAATGATTGTTACTAATTGCTCTGGATTGTGTTGACGAAGTGTGACCGATACAGCTTCTTGCTTTAGGAGGGCCACTTGTCTTCTGGCACCGATAACACACCCGTTCGATGTGCGTGAGCTCCTCTGGGATGACTGCTTAAGGCTCTGCCTGAAGCTCCTCTTCCCAGAAGGTTGTGGTCCTTCTCGGTGCTGTCCCCCTGCAAGATCCACCTCCCCAAACCAGGCCGGCAGTGTGTGCAGCACCTCCACTCCCCAAATTAGAGAGTTCTTGATGGGTTTCAGTGTATTGCATTATTCACTCAAATTACTTTTTTGCCTCAAAAATCCACGCAGAGGAGCCGTGATGTAAGGTATACCCCAGACAGCTGGGTGAGACCACGGAGAGGTGGAGAAGACAAGAAAGTCTTCCTTTGGTGGGAGGTGCTGGAGGATGTGGGCACTTGGGAAGCCATCAGTGAAGGATGGGGCAATGCAACCCTAAAAAGAACTGCATCCAAGAGGGGCTGATGCCCTCCCTGAGGGTCATGGCGTGGCCAAGGTCTCTGCTTCTTGGCTTGGAGACTCTTCCCTGCTTTTGCAATGGGAAACCCGGGAGTGGCGTCAGCAGCAGTAAGTCAGACCATCACCATCATGGATCATTATGGCCTGGTGGCAGCCACCGTGTGTCACCATGGCAATAAGCCTAACAAACAATATCAGGGTTTATCCTCTACAGCATTTCGCTAAGGCCGAGGGGTCCAGCAACGTGTCGGATGATATAGGACAATTAGATACAGAACTGTCCTTCTCCCCACTCCAGGAGGATCTGGACATGGATCTCTTCTGATCCCATCCCCAGCCCCCCAGCTCCTTAGACATTTTGATCTCCCTGAACACATCCATGATAGCACGGGAAATGTCCCAGATCTCTTGTGGGACTGTGACCATGGAGGACATTTTGCTCCTGACCAGCACAAGGTGTAGGAACATCTCCCAGCTGTGGAGGGACAGCAGGCAGGGGAGGACAGAGGCTGTAGAGCTAGAAATACAGTAAGCCTATCAACCCCACCTCTGCCTGGGCTCCAAAAAATGGCTTCAATTCCCAGTATAATCTGATTTTCCATGCTTGCCAGTGTCTTAGGAGCACTGCTATAGGGGCACGCTGAGGTTGGTGAGCCCCATTAGCATGTTCCAACAGCCTCAAGCAAACTGGGGGAACACTTGTACTGCATCGCTCTTTATACTGGGAGAGAAATCTGAGCTTTGCAGTAGATGCCAAAACGGTCAGGATTGAGCCTGAAGAGTTTCTCGCTCAGGTTAAGGCTGGGAATTAATTGGGGAAAAAAAAAAAAAAGCAAAATAAATCAACGTGAGCTGTGAATGATCCAAAGTTGCATCTCCCAAGAAACCCTCGGTGTTGGTGTTTGTTCTTCTTCCCTCGCAAGAACCTTCCTTTTCTATCACGAAGGATAAATCAGCGAAAAGGTCACTGTGGTTGCCTGGTTCTGGGATGACCCACGATGCTTTAGGGAGAACATTCCCACAAAATTCCCACGAAACCTCCTTTCTGCTCGGCTTCACTTCAAGAGGAGCGGAGCACGGCCGGCGTTCCCTCTCGTGCTCTGCCCTCATGGTACTCTCCTCCTTTCCGCAGGTCGATTTTGGCTTTGCAAAGAAAATAGGATTTGGAAAGAAAACATGGACTTTTTGTGGAACCCCAGAGTACGTAGCCCCCGAGATCATCCTGAACAAAGGTCATGACATTTCAGCAGACTACTGGTCACTGGGAATCTTAATGTATGAACTCCTGACTGGCAGGTATGGGCATCGGGGCCGCAAATAGATCCGAATATTTCTGCCGTTGTCACCCTGATTAGGCGAGGGGAAGGTTCAGAGCTGACCCTCCACGTTCGTTTGTCCCGCTGGAAATCCCAGCTTCCCCTCTCCAAGGGCAAGACATGAGCAGGCTTTTTAAGAAATGCTGTGAAACGAGCCCAGAAATTCAGTTTGGCCCTGATTGAGCCCAGCGTGGTGTGGAAAGGGGAAAAAAAAGGGGTCGTAATTCAAGTGGGGAGGTGCAGCGATGGGATGCTGCGTGGCTGAAAAGGAGGAGGTGGACCTGACCCCATGGGGACGTGGGTCCTTATAGCCATCCCTTCCTTTAATTAGATTGGGCTGTATGTATTTTCTGCTGATGTTGGTGGTAGTATCCTGTTGGGATACAGGAGCTGGAAGAGGATCCATCACCTCAACCTGCTTCTCCTTTTGGGCTTGAGTCTGAAAACTGATGGAAACCCAGTTAATCCCCACTGGAAGCACGTCACAACATCTAACAGAGAGTAATAAACCAGCGAGCGTTGTTCACACCCGTTTTCTCAGGCTATTGGGACACGCACCATCATGAGAAGAAGAGGTTTAGCATGTGCTCCTCTGGAAAACTTTCCTCTTTGGTACTTCCCTGCAGCCAACGTCCTTGAAATCCAGAGCTCTTTGGCTGGGACGTCATTAAAGCAAAACATTGCTAGTTGTCATCTACCTTGACTCATTTCAGATATTTTTTTGGTTTAATCAATCTTCAATGGTGTTTTAAAGACAAGCTTTTGATGGTCTTTATTTTTCTCTCCCCTCCAAAGTCCCCCTTTCTCAGGCCCAGACCCCATGAAGACCTACAACATCATATTAAGGGGAATAGACATGATTGAATTTCCAAAGAAGATTGCCAAAAATGCTGCTAATTTAATTAAAAAACTATGCAGGTAAGCACATGAAATGGAATCACCTCGATCCGGTCTGCAAAGAACTGAGGCTTTTGGGAGGATTAAGAAAGTCACCCATTTGTTATTTGGTTTACAGGGACAATCCATCAGAAAGACTAGGGAACTTGAAAAACGGAGTGAAAGATATCCAAAAGCACAAGTAAGTGTCTTCTCCACCGTCCGTCAGATCCAGCACACAGAAACACGCATTTCAAACACTTTGATTTCCTGAAAAAAAAAATCACTTTTATTGAACTCCTTTGGCCTTTCCCTTCTAGTGTGCTTTAGACTCTGATTGAATTTCCATTGGACTTTTTTTTTTTTGCCCCGTGAGTTTTGGTATTGATGCATCCTGGGCTATGAGCAAAACCCGTTGCACGTTGACCGTTAACGCTTGAAGCACTCTAAGGCAGAAGAGCATTTGGAAGCAATCCAACTCAGCCACTGCCTGCTTGGATTTTTTCTGGTTTGCCAAATCATTTTCCAAGGTTTTCCTCGATTTGCCTTTCCCCTCCCCAGCCCAACACGCTTTCTCTCTACCCATGATGTTAATTCATCATCCCTTTTGGTCTGATGGGAGAGAGTTGTTGTGTGATGCCTCCTAGGTTTTCACACTGCTGGGAGAGGGATAGGAACAAGTTAGAGACCCATCACAGAAGCAGGTTATCTCATCCATACATACTGGTCCTTGTCTTTTCCCATCCTAAAGCAGCAGAAGTGGGTCAGATGGACATTTTGGATGGATGGGTTGAAGGCTCATCCATCTATCTAAGCTACCCTAGCTTGAGCAAACCCAAGGTGCCTGAACCAGGAGGAGGACATCCCTGTGGTTGCTCTTAGCTCCCAATCTCATACAAAGAAAGGATGTTAGAGGTCTCATATGGGAGGGATCGATGCTATGAAAAGGAAAGAGCAGCTACCAGAACACCTGCAGTGAGAACAGTGTTCTTCTGAGCACTGCTACTTTATACTTGCCGTGGTATCACAGCACACACTTCATTTTCAGTCCCAAAAAAACATCTATAAAGATGACAGGAAAAAATTAAGAAGGCTAACTGGACAATTCGAAGAAGATGACTGCAGGAGTTGAAACCTACTGTTTAAGCAATTTAAATTTCATTTTGTGCTACAAAGAGATTTTCACCGTGTGTCTAACTGTTTCCTTATTCCCTCCCTTCTAGATGGTTTGAAGGCTTTAACTGGGAAGGGTTACGAAAAGGGACACTGACACCTCCTATAATACCAAGCGTAAGTTTTCCTACTTCTGTTCTCCTTCATGGCCAACAGGTTTCTTCTCCACGAACGTTGTGAGCTTCAGGCACTAGTAGGCTGTAGTTCAGTGGCAACAGCATGTGCTTGCTTTCTTCTGAAGATGCTTGAAGAAGTCACATCAGAGACATTTCCAGCTGCACTCGGTCTCCAGGCAGTCTGTTCCAGGAGAAGGCAGTTTGGGGAGGGCAGGACTGCCGTGAAATGCCCTTTGCAGCAGGAGATGGGGGCAGGATCACTCACCATGACACGTTTTTCTCTTTCTCACCTGCTCCACTTGTCCCTTCGTCTTCTTTTCGCATTTCAGTGGAGACCTGCCACTTCGACCCCTTCTCTCAGATGCATCCTCCTTCCTTTCCCTTTATTCTTAGTTCTTTTGGCGAGGCAAGTGGACACCATCTCCCTTTTCTTTTGCGTTTCATCTTTCCTTCTGGCTTTTCTTTTGTGCTTTTCACCTTTTTTTTTTCCCGTGTCCGTGTCCTACATGAAAAGCCCCGTTACCACCTAGTTTATGTTTAACTGGGAGCAGCGGCGGAGGGCCAGCTCCAGTCGTTTGCCTTTGGAGCAAAGCTCTTCCTTTGATGTCTTTGTGAGCTCTTTACCCCCAAAGCCCCACCGCAAAGGGAAACCAAACAGGATTAGCCGGTAGAAATTACCTCGGCCCCTTCTGTTCTGCAGCCTCCCCTCCTTGTTGCCACTTAATCCCTTTCTCTCCGCGCCTCTCCCGCGGGATCACCGAGAGAATGACATTAGCAATCGTGTTTCATTGCCCTTCGTCGTCCTGCACCTCCTCCAGCAGCGGCAGGGACGGCTCCGGGGCTAAATCTGCCATCCCAAAGTTTTTTTAGCACCTATGAAAGAGCTCGAGGGTTTTGCATCCCATCCCTTTTTGCCCTGTGGGCTGCAGAAGTTACCGGCAGTCGGTAGAAGAAAGCAGGACGTTGGGAATATCTGCCCAAAGCAGGACACCCAAAGAACAGAGAAATATTTTAGAAACCAAAACTGTGTTTTTTCCTGTTAAGCTTCTTTTTAACGACTCGTAATTCATCAGCAGTACTGTTCACCACATTTCAGGTCAGACCATAAAGACATGTTTGCTTCGTTCCATCCAGTTTCAGCTCCTGGTTTACCTGGGCAGGATGTCACTGAAGCCTGAAAATGCCCCAAGATGTTTCTCTAATTGTTTTTAGTGGATTTGTAGAATAGACATATGGACCCTGCATGTCTAACCCTCAGACAGCACAACCGGCAGCGGAGACTTCAGCTATATCTGCTGGCATGGCTTGCTTCCTGACTTCCCCAAGCTGGGAGGTCCCTCCACCACCAGAAGTGGTCTCTGCTCCTGCCTGTTGTGCAGGAAATCACGTTTTCTTTGCTTTTTCAGTGAGGTCCAACACAGCAGGTGGAAAGGGTTGTGTGACCACCCAGTTCACTTTGTTGGCATCACTTCTTGGCATCACCAAGGCTGTATGTTGTATGTGTTGTATGTTGTATGTTCCCTGGTGACGTTCCACCAGGGAACACGTCTGTGATTGCTCCTGAGAGATCAATCTGCTGTCACCCATTTGGCCAGCACACCACCATCAAGGCTGTCCGAAGTAGACAGGAGCATACTTCCCTCATCAGAGGAATCCTTCTTCCAGGACAACTCAATGCTGACAGCCATACGTTGCCCTAATCCCAATTCAACACAGCTCCTTCTTTCCTAGAGCTCTGAGGTCTAATATCTTCTCTAAACCTACTCTTGTGATCCTCTCCAAAACCTGCCTCTGTTAACTAGTGAACCTTGTCCACTCCAAAGCTGTTGGTCCTGCTCAGCCTTGTTTTCCACAACCAGCTCAGTTGCTTTAGCAGAATTTTGCCAGCCATGTCCTGGGCTGCATCCAAAGCAGCGTGGGCAGCAGGGAGAGGGAGGGCATTCTGCCCCTCTGCTCTGCTGTCATGAGACCCCCCCTGCAGTGCTGCGTTCAGCTCTGGAGTCCCCAGCACAAGAAGGACATGGAGCTGTTGGAGTGGGTCCAGAGGAGGCCACGAAGATGATCCGAGGGCTGGAGCACCTCTGCTATGGAGACAGGCTGAGACAGTTGGGGGTGGGCAGCCTGGAGAAGAGAAGGCTCCGGGGAAACCTTCCAGCAGCCTTCCGGTACCACAAAAGGGGCTACAGGAAAGCTGGAGAGGGGCTTTTGACAAGGGTGTGTAGTGACAGGACATGGGGCAATGGCTTTAAACTGAAAGAGGGGAGATTTCCATTAGATCTAAGGAAGAAATTCTTCTCTCTGAGGGTGGTGAGGCACTGGAACAGGTTGCCCAGAGAAGCTGTGGCTGGCCCATCCCTGGAAGTGTCCAAGGCCAGGTTGGATGAGGCTTTGAGCAACCTGGTGTAGTGGAGGGTGTCCCTGCCCATGGCAGGGGGGTTGGAACGAGATGATCTTTGAGGTCCCTTCCAACCCAACCCATTCTATGTCTCTACGGTAAGTCCCAGCTGCCAGTAAGGGCTGTATCTGAAAAGTGACCTAAAATACATAGCTCTGGGAGAAGAAACCAGGTTTTCCTTCACTCAGTGCACCTCTCCTTGTTAGCTGGAAAGGAGCCAGCAGGGCTAAACATAGACACTAGCTTTTTCCTTACGAAAAAAGCCTTCCCCAGCTCTTAAACCCTCATCAGCAGTTACATGGTACTGCCAAGGAGGCAATCAAAATCTGTGCCTTAGCTCTTATTCCACAGGATTTTAGGAGAGCTCAGTTTACAGCCTGCTCCTAGGACAATTGCTTCAGGGAGCTGCTGAGCCTCAATACCACCGCTTAAATCTATAACAACAGCTCTCTTGAAAAGCTTCTCCTACTTCTTCCTCCTCATCCTCCTACATCCTCCATGCTTCTGCTCCCAGAGGGAGAGCTCCTGTGGGATGGGCTGAGAGAAACAGGTGAATGTGGTCCAGTCCGTGTGGAGAACCCCAAGGATAAGGTCCCAAAGAGTGAAGACTCCAACTCAACAGTGCCAGCACCAACGAAGTCAACAGTATTCACTGCACAGTGAAGCGTCTCATTGCTCCGTAGTGCTCCACCAAGCTTTCACAGGGTTTTTCTTTCAGAATGAGTTGGATCTTCAAGGATCTTCGTTTGCCCCAAGATGTTTGCAGCAGCAAACATGCAGCTGGGCAGCAAATTAAATTTAGAGCTGAAGTTGGAGCCTTTGTTGATCAAATAGTCTTTTCCCAAGTCTTATAGCAGCGTCGACCATCAAGTACATCTCCTGGACCATAGGCTGGGCTCTGGCTGTGGCTTCTCTACCAGCTGCACAAGTGAAACAGCCAAAAAATACGGCATATGTTTCCTGCACAGCCCTCACAGGAGGGCCTCTCCAGCCTGCACTGCCTTCTTGGACTGCAGGTTAAAGTGCTCTAGTGAGACACTGATTGTTTTGGCCTGGAAGAGCTGCTGGTCTCTTTCTGTATTGTCTCATTTTTTTAAATTGCATTGATGGTACGCAGAAGGATCTCATCGTAAGAAAGTTTCAGTCATCGTCGTAAAGCAAAAAAGTTAGAAATTAGTTACGGTAGATTTTAAATTACGTTACTTCTCAAAAAAAAAGAAACGTACTCGGCCTTCATCCTAGAAGGTGAGTTTCTCTGGTAGGTTCCATAGGCTGAGCAATACTTGTCAGGAAACTCAGCAACACTCATCTCACGGCCTCCTATTTGTGATCCTGGAGCCGTGAATTGGAAATGGTGGGCTTTGGGAAGGCCCAAGGCTTTTCTGCTGACCTTGTACCGATGGGTAGGACAGTTGCTCTTGAACTAGAGAGCCTAGAGAGCCTGGATCATTAGAGATGGGGTCCTGTGGGAAGTCCTCTTGGGATTGAGCAGAAAGTTGTGGAGTTGAGAACTTTTCTTGCTCACAGCAGTTAGCAACGAACACTCTTGAACGCTCGTGGTTGTGAGATCAAGAGGAAAAACGGCTGCAGAGGTCCCCTTTGATGACCGTCCCCTTCTTCTCGCCCTCTTCTCTCCGCAGGTTGCATCTCCAACAGACACAAGCAATTTCGACAGCTTCCCGGAGGACAGTGACGAACCACCCCCTGACGACAACTCAGGATGGGACATAGATTTTTAATGTCTTTCTCTTTACCTGCTTCTGCCTTGCTGAAGACAGCTTCCCGGGACGTGGCTGCCAGCGAACCCGAAAGAACTGGGGAGGATTAGTGCTCGGGGTCACCATGATGCCTTGATTGATGCTGCTACAGTAACTCCAGTGGCATTAGGACTTCCTGCTTAGATGACAATAGTGCTCTTCATGTTTTACGTTCGAACTGAAGCTAGTGGTTGACATGGTGGTCCTGACGCAAAGCCTTTCGCCAGTAAAGAAACACGTTTCCTATCACTGCGACGATCTCGCCGCGCTCTCTAATTAGCAAAGTCGAGAGACACGTAGTTGTAAGACGCACTTAATTCTCGCTGCAAGGTACTGGGCTTGATCAGTAGGATCAGTAGTAATTTATTAAGTGCTGTAGCTAAATACGGTGCAGGATTTGGGCTACTCCCACCCTCCAAACTCTGTAGATCTTCTGCTGTAGGCCAGTGGAGGAGCAAAGGAGGACCACAACGGTCCTGGTCAAAGAGTTCACATCAAAGCAGTGGTAAAATTTGTCCTTTTTCTTTCCGAGCAGTATTCTTGACAAGATTGAATGTTACCTTTCCTCTTTCTTTTTGAGAAAGTTATTTTTTTTTTTAGCCTGGGAAAACAAAAGCACAACTGCTCTAGATCCTGTTAAGGCAGATATGGGTCACTTCTCTCATATGGCTGAGAACATACTGTAACACGATGTCTGAGCTTTGGTTTGGGGTTGGGTTTTTTTCCCCCTTTCCCTTCGTACAGATACATAACTGCATGAAAAAAAAAATCATAAAATTAATCCATTTTACATATAAAATAGCACTTAAGTAATGGTCCTGTAACAAAGTGACAGCAGCCCACTGGTCTTAGCAATTAGCTGTTAGGCATAAAACTGAGCTTGACTTGGACCTTTTTAGAACCCAAGGGGAAATGTTAAGACCCGTAACGTCCTTTATAGGTGCTACCTACATCCTTCATCTGCCAAGATAAATCCAGTCAACCACTGTTTCAGAAACATGTAGCAAGAGGCATCGTTCTCCATCACGCTCTCAGATTTACGTCTCCGTGTCTGCACGTCTCCTGTGTTTAGGACAAAGCTAATTAAAAGAAAAGGTGATACTAGGCCAGGCCTGGAAAAATAGGTTCGTTACCACCCAGGAAAGTAAGTGGAATTAAATGGAAAACAGAGTTTGGATGTGTTTGTGCGAGGTCTCCGTGTCTCCGGTGTACCTGGTCCCCAGTGTTTAAGGCACGGGGATGGCTAGAGCCGAGTCGGCTCGGCTGGAAAACAGAGCTGGGAAAAATAATATTGTTATCATGTGTAGACTTTTCCCTCTCTTCCACTGCTTTTCCTTTGCTCCAGTCTCTTCTGATTTATAGGGCGTAACAGAATCCGGTCCTGGATGCCCGTTTGTTGCCTATACATGGGACTAAGACTTGATCCCATCATACCAACAAGAAACATCAGTCTCTAGAACAGATCCTGCCCCCCAAAAAATTAGCAGGTGCTGCCCCGTTTCATCTCCAAGGTGCCAAGAGCTGTTGTATATGCTGGAAGTCGAAAGAGCAACTTCATTCCTACGACTTTGCTTACATAGGACGTGGAAAATGTATGTTTTAACAAGAAA